TGTAGTATTATTGTCCGTGACAAGTTATATCTTAATTTTGATTATATGTGACTAAGTCTTTCTTAAATGTTACTGTTTGTGGCCTGATCTATCGTAACTTTGACTATATGTGACCAACGCTATCTTGACTGTAACTGTATGTAATGTATATATTAACAATGTTTTATGATATAATATGTTAACAATGACTTTTTGTGACCAATTTTGTGTTAATTGTTATTATTCGTGACCTTTTGTGTTAACTGTGATTCTCTGTGACTTAAAAATAATATGTGACTAACTAATTTAAAAATTTGTGATCTCGAAATAATCTGTGATGTACAAAATTTTTAATCTGTGACCTCGAAATAATCCGTGATCAATTAATTTTAAAATATGTGACATGCGACCTATAATTATGTATATGTGACCATTAATTATATAACTATGATAAATTAACTAAACACCTGATTTTTGCATTAGTCAAACTTAAAATATGATTTTTGAATTGTGTAAAGTTAATATCTTACTTTTGAACTCTTCCCTTTTTTGAACTCATCCAAAGCCTAATTCTTTCTTCATTCTTGGACTATTTTCGCACCGAAACCTTAAGTCCAGGACCACGGTTGCAAGAATGAAAGAATCAAGACAATTTCGTATAAGGCTTAGATTGAGGACTATTTGTGTTAATTTCCCTGAAACTATTGGCGTTGATTTCATAACATAATATTGACTTTAATTTCCATAAATGGACTTATTTGTTTAAACGCTACATCTTCTATCAAGTAAAGCAGTACCTCTCAGGCCCTGGCTTGATTAACCAAAGTCGTTATACAATGGTGGTCAGGGTAGAGCCAGGAGAGAAGAATCGTGTGGTAAATTTCACAAAATTTTAATTGTGGGGGTAAAATTGAAAATTATAAGGAACTTTTTTTTGAAAATCTTATTTAGAATCTTGAAAACTCTATTGTAAAATTTTGGATTTCAAATTTAGCGTGGGGACAACGAACCTCACTACACCCATTGTAGATCCGCCCATGATGGTGGTCTTCATGAACTAATTACTTTACTTTTTTTATATAGTGTAGCTTGTTACTGTGGAGCAATGGAATGTTAGATTTGATATTTAACTGTTGTGAGCTTACTAGTTTTTGAATTGAAGACATGCTCTGCATATACTTATTTGATTGACCATTAACATTGTTAGATACTAATAGTCCAATCCAAGAACGGGTTGGATTGGGCTACAGTACAAGCCTAGATCCATTTTCAGACTATTTATTTTTTAGGATCAGCCCGTATCCAAAATAAGATTGATCAATGTTTAAAAAAATTAGAACTTAATTTTTATACTTGTCCCAAGTCAAGTTTAAAGCTCCAATCTCTTTTACAATTATAGTCGGTGACTGCAAAAACTAGTCATCCTATGTGGTAACTTATTATTTGAGGTAACAGAATTACAAAAAACTAATGCCTCAAATAACAAGCAACCACATAGAATGACTATTGTAGTCGTTGACTGTGAATAGCATTATTTCTCCTTTTACTGGCCCCAAATCTAAAACCCGAATTTCCTTTCCAATCTTTGTTGGTGCCGCGTCCCCCATTTCCCCTCTGCAACCTTAATTTCCCTAATCTCTTTGTTGCTACTGTAGAAGAAGTGCATAAGCAAAATATTATTTTTTATTTTTTGCTCTCGATTTTTCATGAAGAGCACTTGATTATTTATTTATCTCTTCGTTTTTTTGTTATTGTTCACCAAAAAATTGTATTTTTAGCGAAGAAGCTCCAATTTGCTGTGATAGAAAAAGAAGAAGCTCCAAAATCTAATTTGATTCCTTCATTAATCCTCATCTCACTATCTTAGCCTTGTCGACTTAATAAATATATTTTTGAAATGTTACTTTGTCGGCTTAATAAATTTCAAACTCATATGTCTTAAATTCTTGAATTCGTCCATGCTAATTGTTAACCTCAAAAAGTGATCCAAACACGTGGTCAACAGGATACGACTTCCACGTAAACTCTTTCATGCACGTAGTAACACATTGTTAGTTACTCATGACCTTTTCCCGTGGGTGTGGAAGTGGCCTCGAGCACTCTGACAGTCAAGTTAGTGAATTGGTAAATCTGATTTAAGATGTTCGGTGGTGATCACCGGAACCTAGTTATCAAGGTAAATGTGTGTATGTATAATTATAAGAGAAGATAAGAGTAGGTTTGAGTATTTATAATGAGAGAAGATAAGAGAAGAATCGTTGGATATGGAGCACACGTCTTTGAATCTAGGGTGGAACGTCCTTCGTTAGGTGTCAATTCGTCAATCCATAGGTGGATGGTTTAATTAATACCCACTAACATAGTAATTTGTGATTTGACGTTTTGGAGTATGCCGTGCGTCCCATCAATCAGTCTCAAAGATTTGATTCATGAGATATTTCCATAAAAGATCTCTTAGTACATAGGGTTGAAGTGGAGCGATTGCAGTGGGAGTGGTAATCACGTTCTGAGTTTCATCACTTCGAACTTAATTTCAGTAATATTGATCAGTTTGTTTGAATTGTGATGAAGTGATGCGGAGTGCAGGCCTTATCATCCGTCGTGAGGCAGATGGTTTTAGTTTGTTTGCGCGCATGGTGAATGGATTCAATTCGTCCGCCACGTGGCGAATGAATATGATTTGTCTGTCCACGTCATCCATCACGTGGTGGATAATGTGGGAGAGGTCGTGGAAACCTGTAACAATAATAGTGTAAATCGAGTCTCCATGAACTTCTAACATGTCACTGCATCGTTCCTATTGAAACTTGTTTACGAAGTTGACAATCTTTACATAGTAAAAAATAATTTTTGCTATGTTACAAATATCAATAATCAAACAGCAAGAGAATGCAAGTAGAATCCGTCGCTTATAAGCAACTGTTAAGGTTTCATTCACAAATTTCGCAACTAGAAAGGTTTCATTCACAGATTACGCAACTGGAAATTCACTCTTCAATACTGATCCTACCCTTTTTTTTTTTTGCAGCTAAATCAACTATTGCATAAATTACATTAAAGTTGTCCAAACCTACCAAAATTCGAACGACTTTTAAATAACTTGAGGGGTCTTTAATAGATTTAAAAAATATTACTATATTTGTATAAAACAATTTGTTGACCAACACACCAGTTATACTATATACCTGTTTATTTTGCCCACTAACTTTCAATTAGATAATTATACAACATTTATTACTAGGTCATTGACTTAAAACTCAAGTTGCTAGGTCTAGTGGGTTGGCTAGTTCATTGAAAAAAAATATTAATTCTTTTAACACTTAGGGTAGAAAAAAAATAAAAGTTGAGCGAATTTCACTATCACTAGGCGCAAGCAATGTGCAATGCACGTTTGCCTAGTTTATATTTAATAGTTTTATTTAATAATTAATTTGTTATTAATAAAGATGTAATTTTTTTGGTTAATTAAATAATTAATGATATAATGTTTATGTAATTGTTAAATAATTAGATGTGTGATTTTGATGTTGTGATGTAAGTTGGTGAGATCGAAGAAAATAAACAAAAGTTGACAAATTTGGAGAAATGGCTAAATTGTAAGGGATCCAAAGTTCGGGGACTAAAATGTAAATACTTAAAAGTTGTGCCGAACCTCACGATGAAGATTTGAGAGTGCTCGGAGTCAATTGGATAAAGGAAGACGTCAATGGAATCAAATTTAGTCAAAAGATGATCACAAATCAATTTCCAACCGAAAAGTTATGCTCCGATGTTTTAGTCTCATATTGAGACCTATTTTTGGCATAGAAAGTGATCGAATTGGAGAATGATGTCTGAATCAAAGTTGTAGCCAGATGAGTTAGCTTTCCAACGCATTTTGAATCGCCTCAATCGGATATCGGAATACAAAGTTATGATAAAAATATTGAAGGAAGGTGCAGCTGCCTGTTTAAAACAAGAAATTCCGTTACATAATCCGTTAAAATAACAAATTCCGTTAGTTTTTTCGTTAAAAACAAGAAATTCCGTTACATAGCCACTTTTAATATATAGAAGATATTTAATTTTAGATCAATATATGTTAGGTAACAATACCGATATGTTGTATTTATCAATTTTAATAGAATAATTTTTTATACTATTAGGCGATGAAGCAAAAAAATTAACTTGAACAAAATATGCAAAGAACTTGTTAAAAAAAATTAAAAAAAAAATAAAATCTATAAGTCACTAATTTTCAACCAATACTAAATAATAATAAGGGTGGGATCTGCTTGAATAAAAAAATATTTTATACAAGTGGGTCCCACCTCACATGAGGGGAGTGTACACCCTTATGTACAATTCTTGATGTACAAATAGAATTATCCAAATAATAATAAATGAGAATTGAGAAAATTCTCAAAATATTTCATATATAAAATTGAACATGATTAAACAAGAAAAGAACTATATAAACAAATAACTTCAATTATCCTCCAATCATATGTATTTCAACATAGATATAATGTGTCATTTAATATAAGTGTAATTAATCCAATATCACACAACGCCTAAATCTAGTAATATCTATCTAATGGATTATCTTTTATCCACGACTATGCGGATTGCGAAGTCCCTAGGCTTGTAGTCGATTTGGTACTCTTTGAAAAGTCGGAATGAAAATTCGTTTTTTCTTTTAAAAAAGTTGAAAAAATAGGATGTAGTGTGTAGATTTTATAGTTTTCTAGTTTGTGATCAAATTGGTTTTGATATTTGAAAAAAAAACAATCTTGAAAAGGAAATATAGATAATATATTATTAAATAAATATTAAAACTGGTGAATGTGCATTGAAATGTCACTAGCATATAGCCAAATACCAACCACTAACTTTACAAGTCAGTCTTCTTTTGACAAACTAAACTAAAATTGAAATTACAAGCAAACTTTTTCCAAATTCAATATGCAACAAAAATCAAGCATGAACAATCAATTCCTCATTTGATCCTCTCCTTTTTCTTGAATCTAAAGCATTTCTTGATGGCTTTTCATTATAGAAAATTTTTGGTCTTAGATAAAAAGCCCGAGGATGAAAAGAAATTTGTAAATTGTTACACTTGTTATGAATCTGATTGCCCTGATCAGTGCAATGATAATTACTTTTCTTCACCACCTCCTCCACCTTTGCCGCCACCTCCTCCGCCTCCGTCTAGCCAGAATCATCGAGTTTCAACAATTTTGATCCTCATCAGCTGTGTTCTAGGTGCTACTTTTATGGTTATTTCTTATCTTTCTATAAGGAGGTACCGGTCAAGGTTGAGGAATTCCAGACAATTGGAGAATAGTGCCAGAGAGGATTTTATCGACGAAAATCAAGGGCCTGTGGTGGATCATCCTATATGGTATATACGTACGGTAGGGCTAAATCGATCGATAATCGAATCTATAGCGGTTTTTAAGTACAAAAGTGGCGAAGGTTTGATTGAAGGGACTGATTGTTCTGTTTGCTTGAGTGGATTTCAAGAAAATGAGAGTCTTAGGCTGTTGCCTAAATGTAGCCATGCTTTTCATGTCCCGTGTATCGATACCTGGTTAAGGTCGAACAAACATTGTCCCCTTTGTCGTGCCCCGATAATCAGCAATACGAACACTGCAGATCAGGTGAATGCAGTGGACACGAATTCGAATAATTTGGGTTCACGACACGAAGAACAAACAAATAGCGGATTGGATGTACGTGAAGTGGAAACCGATTTAACTGTTGAATCGAGAATTGGGGCCGAAAATATTGGTGGAGTTTCGGTTGAAACGTTGCAGAAAAAGTGTGCTAGTCACGATGCTAGGAGGGGTAAGCATCGAGTGCTAAGTGATTTGGGTGATCATCGTGCAAAAGTGGATGGGGCGTTACAACAAACGGTTAGAAAATCGGTTTCTATGGATTTTCCATCTACTTCGATGATCTGGAATGCTGGTGAAGTTCGAGTGAAGAGAGAAGAACAAAATTCCGATGCAATTGCTAATAAAGGAAGTGGGATTCGAGCATCTACAGGTTCATAAAGAGTCGTTCATATGGATGTTCCATTCCACAAATATGAAGAGGTCCTTCTCAATTAATCCGAACACTTAGTACAAACAATTGAGATTTCTGAATTGTTGCAGCTAATCACTGAATATTGCTTCACCAGGTTTTGTGGTGGCATGTAAACAGAATAAGTAAAATGTGAATATAATTTGCTTATGTTCCAATATCGAACTTCTCTTTATAAGCCTGATCAACCATAGCATAAAAAAGGCTAAAAAAAACCCAAAATTGGTTTATTCAAGAGGTTGAGAAACCGACGTTGAATTGAAGTGGTTCTATATATTAGTAAAATATGTTATTTTTTGTTGGAGATCGGTGACGTTCATGTATAAAATTATGTACTCGTTAAGAATTTGATGAGAAGAAAATTAATAAAAATATTTGATAAACCTATATGATCTAAATTTTTATCAATTTAGGGTTTGTTGAGAGTTGAAACAAAGTCGTGATGGTAGATAAAGTGTCCTCTTCATCAGTTCATCCTCATTGGCAGCTAATTTTGTGGTTTTGTTTTTTTGCGCAGCCCAAAACAATAACTTACTGTTCAAAATTTGAAAAGTTGACATCCCAACGACAGAAATAATCGGCCTCATCATAGAATTTTAGACCTATATTTTTTATTTACTTTTGAACTTTATCGACCTTCTCTTTACGGGTGGGCGTGGGTTGGGTTGGGTCGGTTTTTCACTCAACCCAAACCCAACCCAACACTATCGGTTTGATTGAAATTCAACCCAATCCAACCCACGTAAAGATTGAAACCCAACCCAACCCAACCCAAGTAAATGTCGGTCGGGTTGGGTTGGGTTGGTCGGGTTGAAACAACCTGTCAATAAATATTAAAGTCCTAAAATACTGATTTTTTAACTGAATATCAAGCAACATTAATAGTCTTCCAATATCAATACATTTCAAATATAAAATAGTAAAGTCATCCAAATATCCATCAAAATAATTATCCAATAACAATTTACATAATTCATTACAAATTTACAATACTTAGGCAAAACATTACTGGAACTTGGCACAAACAAAAATAGGTGACTTCAGCCCCTTCAAAACAATTGGGAGTCTGGGACTTGGCTTTGTGCAAAAATCTGACTTCAGCCCCAATTCTGTGACTTCAATTGATTCTGGCTGCAAAAATCTGGCACCCCTTTGACTCCTACATTTCTGGAAGATTAAGCAGTTGAAATTGTAACACTTGAAACAATTATTAACTAATAAATGAGAGAACACTTCCAGAAGTGCAGAAGCCATATGAAAGCCATGTATGTGTATATATGCCAACATAATTATGAAAGACGAAAATATGATGCTAACAGCCATTTTCTTTGAATTCTAGAGGAGGATATTACCTGAGAATGCTAAGTGGTTGTTCAAATCTTTGATCCCAAGGCAAGTTGTTGTGTCAAAAACCTCAAAACAGATAGTTTGAGGGATGATGAGGTTCCAGGCACCTCTTTCAAAACATATTGTTTGTCTATTGAAGGCTTTGAAGCTGCCAATCTTCAGAAATTCTAAAAACACATAGCATAACACAGTGATTCCAATTAAAAGAATTAGAAGAAGAGAGGATTTTTACAAGACTAGATACATAAAGATTTTTACTTACAAACACAGCAGGAATAACATACTTGGGAGTTGGGTGAAATTATTATTATTTTTTTCTGAACTTGAGCGGGAATAAAAAAAAGAAGATAGAAAAACGGAAGGCAGGATCATCGACAGAGCATGAACTTGGCGCCTCCTCATCTAAAAGGTTGTTTTGCTTTTGAAGTTCTATAAATTTTTTAAAGATTGGGTATTCATTTATTCTTGAATTACCTTGTACCAAGTATAGACTTCTAATAGCTAAAACTTCTGCCTTCATGTCCCAAAAAAACTTGTAAATGCAGTAAATCTGGAGAGAATTCTATAGCAAACGTCAATTGCATTCAGGATGATCCAAGGGATGAGACACGTGAAACAAATGCCTTATCTAACAACCATCCAGATGGACCAAAACATACATTTGAGCTAGAGACAGAAACATCGATGAGTGACATAGAACCTAACAACTAGACTCACCAGAATGTAATCCCAATCTTCTGTGGAAGCAAATTGATCTTGGATCTAGAATTCTGGAACAGTGCAGGAAAAAACTGAATATTGCCTACAGCTGAGAATGCATCCTGGATTATTGGTTATACACTTTAGCTAAGAAAAACAAAAACACTGGTATTAGAAGAAGAGAGGATTTTAACAAGACTATATACATAAAGATTTTTACTTTCAATGACCTATTACAGCAAAAACTGTGCAAGTCAGTTATACATAAATAAGAGAACTGATGAAAACATAAAAAGCATGAAATTACTGACTGATTAATATGCCTACCTCAAAAGTAATTCTGCAATATTAGAGCTTTGTTGTCTGAAGTATTAAGTGACCTATTCGCATAAAAATAGTAAAAGTCAGTTCTATAAAAATAAGATAACAAATGGACACATAGAAATCATGAAATTATTGACAGATTATAGATTAATATGCCTACCTCAAAAGAGAACTTGTAAAATGAATGAATCACTTAGCGTTGGGCTCTTGATCATCTTCATTTGATTTTGAATTCAGTGATTCTAAAAGTTCATCCATTTGGTTGTAATGCTCAACATCTTCCATGCAAAAACCATCCAAGTTCGGAGAAGCCTTTAACCAATTTTGAGTGCATACTAAAACCTCGACCATTCTAGGACTTAAGGAACTACGGAAAGGATCGAGTATCCTTCCTCCCGT